TGTAGTTCCTTTTTTTGGTTTCGGTTGGGAAACTACTTCTTTTTGGTTCCAGGGTTTTAGGACTTGAAGAATAGGTTTTGCATATCCCAAGAATATTCATTCATATCATCAAGAAAATCAAGAAAATCAAGAATATATAATAGAATGATGTCGAATGACAAGAATGCTTTGAACATGATGATCATGTGCTGATGTTGATGCTCATGCTTGCTGTGCTGCAATCAACCAAATCAAGCACTCAATCAAGTACTCGGTCAGCTGATTTTATCGCTGACCCCGCCACCGAAGTCTGGTTTCAATCAGCCACTTCTGTGCCGTGCGCAGCGGCATGGCCAGCTGGTGCGGCGTGCGCGAAATAACAGAGGCCCTGCCAACATAATCCTCGGCCATAGCGGTTGAGAATGCCATCGGATTCAAGATACGTTGGTTTGCCAGCTGCCCCTTCATCTCCAAACGGATGTGATCCAAATAATGCAGCTTAGGAGTGAGATTGAAAAATACAAGTCCCTCCTGGTTGGCATCACTTGCGAGCCGAACATAGTGGATCAGAAACTCGTCCAGGGATTTGACCGCACCTCGTGCCTCAGTTTGAGTCATAAAGACTCGGTCGGCCTTAGCACATCTCCGCAGAAAATCATCGAGGCCTTAGTTGCTTTCAACATGGACAACATGGATTTGAGTGTACATGCCTGAGCAATACCACAAGCAATGAACAATCAACTGACAACATGAGCAAGACACCATGTGCACAAGCAAGCATGTTGTTGATGTAGTTGTTTGCTTGAAAAGGCCGCCCCAGATAGTCCACAAGCCACGACAGTATCAAATACGTGTCCGACGCTTTAAAGGTAACTTGAGGCATATCTCGCGGGCCCTTCCAGCCGAGATTTTCACGAGACCAGTGCTTAACATGGGGCGTGGTGTTCATGATGTGTTTGACAAAGTGCTTGAAGTCTGCATAAGCTTCATTGATGCGCACAGGAATGCTTCGCCCGATATCAGGGTTTGACGGAATGAAATGACCCAGGTATATCAAGAAGCAAATGGCGGAACACAAGAACGTGCGACCAATTCCCAAATTGACGATATGAAAAAGGTCTTTCGCCAGGAAGGTCGCCTCGCCGTTCGTAGTCAAATCAGCCAATGGCGGCTTGTTGGTCCATGGGACGTCCTGACCCACCGTGGCCTTCCAGGAGGCTCCAGCACGAACATCAGTAAATGGGATCGTATCCCCGTCAGCCCCGCACCATGGACACATGGGGTGCGGGACCGACAAAAAAGTCCGCTTGCAATGATACATCTTTGCCTGAGCAGGGAGGTCACCTTCAAGACAAACAAAGCATAAGAAGAAAGTACCGTGGTTGGTGGCTATTCCAGTCTCCATGGCCGATCTTGCTGCCGTTGTAAACTCCGCCATAAGTGTGTCCAGCACTTTGTTGCCGCATTCAAAGCCCACATTGAAATGCCGGTAAGATTCGTGACCCATAGCAGTCCAAAAAAAATATCGGAGCCAGCTTGCAGCACCAGCTGCGAGGACGGGTCCCCAGGAGATCTGCATAACTGCGCTCTTCCGAACCCCAGTGCCCTCATCTGCATGAATCTTGCAAGGTATGCAAAATCTTAGTTCATCTTGGGAATGGACTTGGAAGATTCTATTGTCGGGCTGAGCTTGTCGAAAGGTCCTCCAGAATCTCAGAAAAAGCCCCTGTGCTGACTCCACCGGTCGACCTGCAAAAAGCTTTTCCTCGTAGCTGCGAAAGATCTCCCTGGCCATATCTTGTATGCGTAGCACAGGATGCCTCACAGTGCCATGACCATCAGGACCCGGCACTGATACATAAGAAATTGGAACAGCCAGAGCGAACCCACGCTTGGTCACAGCATTATTGAAGTTGCGGGCCTTGTTGCGGCTTGTTTTGGACTCAGCAAGTTCCGTCAACAAGCTTTGTCCATGGTGCCCAGGCAGCATTGTTTGCGATGTACTGCGTGCATGCGCACTGGCGCTGCTGGCACTCCCATCCTTTGCGTGTCGTTAAGTCGTTAATATAAAACAAGCAATGCAACAGGGCAAGTCATGCACAACGAAAGTACAAGCATGCTTGGTTGCACTCATGCATGTTTTTGTTCATGTTGGCAGCTTGCTATTGCTGTGGCTGTCGTAGTCGTCGTTGTTATTGCTATTGCTATTGCTAGTGTTATCGTCGTTGTTGTTGTTGTTGTTGTTGTTGTCGTTGTTGTTGTTGTCGTTGTGGTGGTGGTGGT